AGGTTACAGAGTTAAGGATAAAGATCGATTCAGTTACATTCTGTGACAAAAATATGTTTTGAATAGATTTTTTTGTTTTTTTTTTTTATTTAGAGGATTGCGCTTTTGTATCCGAACCTTGAACTTTTTTGGATTTATTTAACGAGATCATTCACGTCTGAATGTAACAAAGAATCGTATTAAGAATACAAACTATTTAATGTAACTATGTATATAATAAATAGTATTGTTACGTGATATTGTCAATGTTTAGGCACTCTCCAAGATATTACATATTCTCATGTCTTTGTACCTACAGGGTTTCACTAATGAACACTTCAAGTACTAATTCAGAAGATTTAAAAATATTACAAATTGAATGAAAAGCCACTTGTTTGGATCGCTGTTAAGTTAACATTAACAATTCAAAAACGTATTTATTGACATGAACATTAAATATGACGGCCTCTTTCGCGCCGTAGTAAAAAAAATACAGCTGTCAAAAAGCGCCAGAAAACCAAAGGGATCTAAACAAGTGCCGATCAGATACATAAAATTCAATGAAACTAGTGCATCCCAGCAAATGGGACATCGGAAAACGATACAATTTTAAAACGACTAAAGTACATTTCATTCAGTCTATTCGTTACGGAAGACCAAAATGACGATCATATTACTAAGTCCCTTTTAACGGTACAGCTGTGTTTTTAAAAACCTATAAACTATTTACAGCACCGCCAGAACCGCCATAAACAGACGTTGTCGGGTTTAGCGTCACAAAATACTTTAATTCTTCATTCTTTATTAAAAACTACCAAAAACCTGAACACCTACATATATTTGTAGAATCAGCTACATATTTTTTTTGTCTACTTTAAATCCCGCGACAAATCTATCGATACTCAATTTAAACTTTTAACAAATTTAAAAAACATACAAAAAATATTGTATATTTCTAATAGACTCCCAAACTATTCGAACGTTGGTCCATATTATCTAATTGATTGAAAAAAAACCACTATTTTAGGTGAATGATAAAAAAAAACTATTTCTTTAAGGCACAGTACTGTGTCTGTTGTAGTAACTTGATATGCTTTTATTTAATTCAAATTTCAAATCTACTATTCACTACAAACTACTTTACGTATCAGAAAAAATAAGCGGTCTCCCAAGGAGTTTATCTGTTATAATTTTTCAAATAAATGATCGACTAATTACCTCAAAAAATCAACTAAAACTACGTTACCGATCTTTGTTTATCAAAACCCAGCACCCAAAACCAATTACTATTCACTACTGACACTATTTAATACTGGGATGCACTTTACTGGAATGGGTACGTACTAAAACTATATTTTTTTTACCATACTTAAGAATAAAGCACGGGATTTTTGTAAAACCAAAAATACTTTAGACTGTGCGTGTTAATACATAAGACCGGACTGTTTCTACGAACCTAGCTGCGGTAGTAATGGCCATATATAAATCATCTATCAGTCATCTATCGTCGAATTCTCAACACAAGGTATTTTCAAGAAATTAAGTTAACTACAAAGTTCATTAACCGCTCGCTGAGTTAACTTTTTCATGCAAGTTGCTTATGAACCTGCGATGCCGAAGTTTAGCCGCAAATCGTTTGAGTTATAACAAGGCCTGATGTCAGAAAAATTACATTGTCCAAATGGCCTAATATCTTGCACATTACTGTATTAAAACAAAAGTATCTTGATCATCTATGTATTTAAATATTAACTTCGATGGAATCTCCGTATTATCTATCTCAGTTTAACTTTTGGGTGTTGTTTTTTAATGTTACAAGATACCCCGAGAAAACTTGATTACTTGAAAATATAATTGCAAGATTTTTGCAAAAATCCCGTACAACAAAAATAATCGAAATAAATTCTCATATGAACTAAAAGCAATCAAATTAACAGCAGTTTTGGAAAGTTCGAAAGTCTGACAATACCGGTTTTTCTCATCCTTTATTTCCTTAGACTTCTCATATTAATAAACTCAGTCTCTGGTATTAAAAAAATCAGTATTGTCTCACCGTGTGCTTCGTGGTCTTCGTTCTTCGCCGGCGCTTGTCTCTGGCATGCACACGTCACCGCTAACTCTTCTGTCATGCATCTATTCTTCTCGAATAACTATCAAACGCTAGCTACCAAAATGGGGGTAGTAATGGCGCCCGTGTTCAAAGCTTAACTAATAAACAACCAAAGGTAGGGAAGCGTTTTGTTTAAATAAAAAACCAGCTGTGTTTTTATTTTTTATTTCTAAATGTTTCTAATGTGATGATTATTTTTGTTGGCATTGTAGAGGCGCGCGGCCGACTCCAAACAAAATAAAATTCGTCCCTTAGAACAGGCGTCTAGACCGGTATATTCCGGGCGTTCTTTCATCTACATACTTTAAAAACTGCAAAGCTGATACCCAAACGCATAGAAAGTTATTAGCTTACCAACATGTTACTGGTATTAGAAAAAATCGTTTTTTGTTGTCTATGCTTCTGGTTAAATTTGACTACATCTAATCAAAAATGACCCATTCTAAGTCTGCTTTTTACTGTACCTACTGGTGAACAGCCCACTATACGTACCTATGAACTACGAAATTATTAATTACCAAGATAATTAAATGCCATGAACAGAAGGAATGTAAGATTAATACATACATATTTTTATCATTATTATTTATCTTCGTAAGCGCACTACAGGCCACAGTGCATAAAATACTTGTTTTGAATTGAGTGACGAAGCCGTTTTTCTTGTTACCATAGAGCTTTTTTTGGTACAATTTATCCTTATTACTAAAGGCAAGGGGACCTAAGCCCATGCAGCCTTGATTAGAGCCTGCCATGCCATTTGGGAACTCTTAAAAGCTTCTTCAACTTTATTTCTAGATTATCCGTTTGTCTTTTATTTCTCCAATAACGGAAATCTACATTTTAAGTATTAATTTCAAGTGTCACTCAATTCGCTCAAAAACAAAACTGCTCAGGTATTGCATGGTCGCACGCCTTAAAGCGACTGCAGATACACACTACACGTATCAGAACAAAGTTTTAATCACAATAGTTTATATTAATATCAACAAGATTACTAATAATTATCACCATAATTAACTTTGCACCCGACTACGACGTCCAATTTTAGCTCCCAAATTATATATAAGTAAAAGTATGTAGTCACTACAAATGGGGTAGGTACGTCAAATAAATAAACATGCTTTCTTCAAAATGTTCAAAAAATAGGTTGAAAAAAAGACTGCGATTTGTAATTATCGTAGCCGGGCATTTTTTTTTAAATACAAGTTATTCAATATACCAACTGACTACAGAATACACCAATGCCTATTATACAAAAATATTTTATAATATTGTATGCAAGTGTGTATAATAATATCATTAATACTATTTATGCGCGCGCTGCGGTGCTTATCAAAAATCACGTGCAACTTCTAAAGAGCTTTTCTGTAGGCCATTTCAAAGGGGTTCCACTTTTTTTTCCAAAGCATCCAACACCGTACCGCATGCAGTTAATTCCCGCCATCTCGTGACACATTAATATCATGTAATCTTAAATCTTGTAATCGAGACGTCAATCCCACACAAAACCGTGCAACAGCAGCGCGCGCGTGCTTTATCCAATAGTAATTATAATAATAATAATAAAAGTTATTGCTTTCGATTACTCACTTATTCAATATACTTTTATGTAAAACTTCCAAATTCCACTAAACTACAGACTACTCTAGCATTGCGTAAATTTATAAACACATTTTTAACGTTTTTATATTCAAAGTTTTAATCTCTTTTTTTTGTTAATAAATACCTTTCACGTCACCTTTCGATCCAGACAAGTGGAGCAAAGCTGTATTATGCGTTCTCGGATCGCGTATGGCACAAAAATAATTATTAAATCCTATGAAAGGACTAGGAAAGATTTAAGTATTGAGCAAGAACAGACACTGTTACCCCGCCAAGTATATAGACGAACTAATTATTTAATGACTAGAAACATANTTTTTTTGTTAATAAATACCTTTCACGTCACCTTTCGATCCAGACAAGTGGAGCAAAGCTGTATTATGCGTTCTCGGATCGCGTATGGCACAAAAATAATTATTAAATCCTATGAAAGGACTAGGAAAGATTTAAGTATTGAGCAAGAACAGACACTGTTACCCCGCCAAGTATATAGACGAACTAATTATTTAATGACTAGAAACATAAGGAATGCTTGAGTTACATGTTTGAAACAGAGACGCCTTCCGATGAAGTTTCCGGCTTCTTACTATAAAATATAGCTTCTTTGTTGGCAAGTCCCTTATTATTGTCACATTTTTAAACTAGAGGCGTTTACCAGATTTGGCATTATATTCCTTTACACGCAGCTACAAAAGTACAAGTCGAATGAACTGCTTTTTATTTCTGTCATTGAGCAAAAACATTTTGGCCAATAGATTTGGCTGTTATACTTTGGCAAAAGAAACGTACGGCAAAGACCGTCGGCCCCAAGCGAAGCTCACTAAAGGTCTAATCTACGTGTCTACATCCATAACGTTTCTTTTAAAAGTTATCTGTAATATTTAAAACTTTTAAAAGTAACATTTTTAAATAGCACGTATCACAACCAACGTGTGGCGTACGCCTTACAAAAATTGACAAATCAATGGAAGATACTCATAGGTATGACGTATAGGTACATGCCAACCAGGATATTCTAAGTATAATGAACAGCAATTATTCGTCACGGTGCTAATCGCAGCTATCAAATTTTGCTTACCACCAAAGAGTTAGTCACAGGTAATGGATTCAGAGTTAAAATGATTGCATGCCCAATTTCACTTACCATTAGTTTTCCGGTTACAGTGCGATACTATCATGGAAGTAAAAACGTTATTCACACTATCTACATAGATTATTCATCAACGTGCATACTAAGTATAGTGTACACAAACCAAAAACCCAGCAGAGGATGTGACCCACGCATCGATTACTAAATAAAACACAAATCTTTCTAATCATATCCATGTAATGACACATTCGAGTATACTAGTGCTCCATACAAACGGGCAAACTAAACTAAGAGAGCGATCTATTTTCCTTGCATAAACTTAACTCTGTCCTAAATCTCGTTTAAAAGAGACAGCAGAACAAAGTTATAGCAAGGATTCTAGATGACTAAGTACTACGATGCTATGACCTACGATCCGCAAACCATTGAAGAAAAAAAAACACTAGTCGAGACAAAACAAACCAGCTTACCATACATAAATTAATACAAGTGGCGTGTAGTCTATTTGAAATCCCGCTTAAAAATTCCCGCGCAATTTTGACATTGACAGCGTCAAAGTTAAGTTTTAGAGGCCGCGGGAGTTCGAACAGAACATATACTAAATTTAATAGGAAAATTATTAAGTACTAATTACCACCGCACGTTTTATTTTGGCAAGTCGTTAGCGGCGGGGATGTTAGGTAAGACAACTCGTAATCTTCTAATACTGAGATTCTCAAGGAAATAAAAGATCTATTATACAAAAGGTGTAACATAATATGAGGAACGTCTATAGCCCGGTAAAAAAAAAGATTAAATTCAATTTAAGTACATTCCATTGCAATTACACATTTTTTGTAGGCCTTATGAACTGACAATTTAGAAGAACGGAAAACGAGGGACATGAGTTTCTTTAGTCAAGACGTTCCTCTTCAATTTTAAAATCTCAGGGTAAGATACTAAAACTACTTAAACTTACAATACTGCTAATTATAGGACAGGTATGTGTGTACACGTGAAATGATAGCATTCGATAGCCGTGGTCTGTGGGGACGCGTCCGAAGAGTCGTCAAAATCAAAACTTTGCACATTTTCTTTCCAAAGCCACAACATACATTTTAGTTTAATATTCATCATATTTGACACATTTAGTTGCACACAAGTTTTTTTTGATAGTGAATCCAAATCTTTCAACGCATTGAAAACATTTGTTTTAATACAAATATTGGGGTTATAATTTTTACACAACAAGACAATTAGTTTAATTCAGTAGAACAGCATAATATATTAACTAACTTCATAAATGTTTGTTTATGTACCCACACACCACGGTTACAAGAGTGGACCGACTGGGACTTGTCGGCCAAGCTACCGCATGCACTCTGCACTACATATCGCCGCCTGACTTGAACCGACGAAGCATTACCGAAACAAACTATCAACTACAGACGTATTAAATTACCAAATTTAGACAAAAATACAAAATAATTTTTTTTAGAAGTGACCTAGTAATATTTGCGATTTTATTTCATTTAAATTTAGATACATACTCAGTACAAGACGATTGTTTATGTGCCTTCTGAATGAGAAATAATTAGCAGAAGCTTTTTTATTATTCACTCGGAAGTTTTCGCTGTCAACGATGCAATCTAAGCATTTACAGCTTAACATTGTCCATTTGTCGGAGTGAATCGGCGTTATTACTATTCTTTTAAACTAGGAGTTATATGCACAGCGAGTATTTGTTTACCTTTGGTTTTGGTTAAGTTGCATACACCAATGATTCTTATAGACCGTAACAACAGTAGGAATGTAAGCAGAAGCCACCTTGGCGATAAAATTTAAGACACCGGTTCACATGGGAACCTTCAAAAGATAAATTTTACCAAAGTTGGAAGATGGAAGAGTAAAAACGTCAGTCGAGCCAGTGATGCGGATTAAATCTTACTATAATTAAAGTTCAGACATAAATCAATTATTGTTAATGTAAATAAAATCGCAAACATTTACTTTGAGAAATAAATATTTAATTTCCAAAACTAGATAATACTGTCATTAAATAGTAAAGGACCAAGTCCGGAACACACGACTTATCCTAAAAATTGCACAAACACAACCACATTTTGTCTTTTTATGTATATAGGTTGATAGATATATATATAATACATATGTATAATAGTATAATACTTGCTAATCACAGGGGTTAAGTATTGCTTTTCGAAACTAACGCTAATTATTTAATTAATCTTAATAGTACCAAAGTACATCGGCCAATTATATTAAAAAGATTCTATTTCACTGTTATGCTGACAACACAAGCGAAAAGCTAAGACTTAAAAGACACACCACTCAAATCTACTAAATCTTTTGTTTTTACGTTTAAATTCAATCCTTGACATAATAGCCGTGCTTATAAATGTCAAAACTGATCTAAGCTTTACCGTCGTATCGGTGACTTGGAAGCGCTCGGTCCAAGCACAGTGCGAAATCATAGATCATTTTATTTCACTTGTGATGCGGTTGTTTAATTCTCCATGGTATGCCTTAATGTAAAAACAAGTTTACTGCCTTAGGTAGTAAGTAGCACATTTGCTATAGTCGAAAGCATATTTAAAGCAGAGTATACTCCATAGTCGGCGAGTTGTCTATGAAACGTGGAGGCCTTTGCTTTGCACCGAGACATGCTAACCAATTACTACAATTTAAGACGTTCTATTTCAACCGATAAAGATTATAATTTAAACAACAAAACCTTTGCTCATCAAGAATTCAATAGGATTTTTCCAGATACACTACAGAGGACGTGGTCGCTGCGATTTCTCCAAAGTTCTGCACTTTTCAATTAACGACCTATTCATCCTTTACATTGCGAAGATAGTTATCCGGCAGACAGCGCCCGGTGGTAAGGCGGTCATAGAAAAGTTCGAGAAAGATCTACTAGTCCAACTAGAGCGCCCTTCTGTTTCCAGAAAATACCAGAACATATTCAATGTATCGTAATATTATATTTTTTGGGATGCTAGTTGGTTCGTAATTCAAAAACATGGGTCCAAAGACGCCACTCAGTGGCAGAAGCGACTGTTGTCAGTTACTGGATCTAATTGAAGTCATAATTTAGTATTTTTTAATTACGAAACGAAAATTCGTTTTACAGTAATTAGTTTTAGCTTTAGCACAGCTTTAGCCTTAGGTTAGCCTTACCTCCTTGGACGTTGCAATCAGCACGGCTTATCGACGGCTTAGCTATGGGATCTATGATATTTTTTCCGCCAAATTTATTGTCACCCTACTACCCTCGATTTGAGCACAAAGAGTTTTAGCAAAATGATTTTAAAACTATCAAAATTTGGACACTACAAATTTAATACTGATAAGTCGGATAAGTATATACTTTAGTTCAAAAAATTATTGCTCTCAAGTCGTACACGGCTTGTATAGAGACGAGTACGAACGACATACAGACTCTACGAGTTAAACTAAGTCATAATACAAGTACACAACCGCAGATCGACTCGACGAGTCGTCAAGCTTAGACATAGCAATTATTCGAAGTCCTAGATAATATCAAGGTCAAGCTTAGACATAGCAATTATTCGAGGTCCTAGATAATATCAAGGTATCCTTAGAACGCGATTCAACAAGAAGGAACCATTTGCATATTTTGGATTTTTTTCTACCTCCTGGATACCTGATTTAAAGTTTATTAGTTAAAAAAGTTTACCTTTGTTAATAATTCTGTTATAAATTTTGTATTGGATCCTTTTCACACTACTACATCCAGTCAGAAATGACACGAGTCCACAATATATACTTAGTATGAGGATCTTAAAACAATAAGTACCCGCAAATTCAATTAGAAAACGAATTTTTTATACAGACTGCGCAAATTTAACGCGAATAACACTTGTATATGTTTAAGTACAGACGCGGTGCGTCGGAGTACTCAGATCACGTCGCACCTACAAGCGTTCCAAGTTGATACAAGTTATATTTAGCCTAAGCTTTAATAGCAGCTTTTAAGTACAAACCTTACAGATATGATAAGTTGATACATGAAGGAGTCTACAGACCCGACTAACGGGTCCAGTCACTCGCTAGTGTTAAACATAGGCAAAGTCAGGCGGCGTTTACAATCTACAGCGGCTTATATACTTAGCTTATTGTCATGTGACACTCACGGTGTTAGTAGCATTCCCTCGCACTAAACTAAGTTATTATTAATGTACGCACTAGGAACCGCCCACAGTTGCAGCGCCGTTTAGACGATGTTGCCATTGTCACGGCCGCCATTTTGAGAAAAATGTTGCCACGCTCCAAAATCTACCGATTCGGTAGATTTTAAGGTACATTATACGTCTAAACGGTACCAGAACCTCACGAGGCGCTATTCTACAAAAAACATACATACGTGAATGAATTGCTTGTCAGTTAGATATGTAGAGTATTGTGAGCTGAAGGGAGGAGAGGGGGGCCGCGAGACAGTTCATACTTTAAATCCAGGTCATTAAACAGCCTTCAATTAAATCCACCTTCATATGGGCTATTGGAAATATTCTTCAAGTGTTTTTTACCCCACTTGAGTAACCAAATAATGTTGCAGCTCGCGGCCGCCCCGCCCTTCAGAAGTTATGCTAAATATATTATAGTTTAAATTAATAAAAAAATACATAGCTGCGAATGAGATTCATCAAAACAAAAATTATACACAGTCCTCGCGTTTAAAGTCATATCAATACATATGGGTATTGCCAACGAACGTGCACTAAATACTACTACAAACTAATTACAAAATCCAAGACAAAAATAATAATAGTGTATATAATATATATATACTATCTTGAAAAAAAAAAAAAAGTAATATCGCAACTAAATTATTGTGAGATCTCTTAAAGACGTTCAAGTTCCGATAGCGAGTCCTGTGTGACGCTTCCGTCGGTCTCTAAAGGACCCTGTCATGTTACTACACCGACAGAATCAATGAGTGCATTGAGTAGGGCTAATTCTCTAGAAGAAACAACGCAACGCACACGCCGGGAAACCGAACTACCGACTTTTTAATTTAAAAAAAATGCTCATCTTTGAGGCCCGCAGCGGGCGGCGAACTCCTTAACCTAACAGTAATGAGCCGAAACTTAACTAAGTTCGAATACTGATCATTCCTCTGTGGCCACTCCGAGACCTGCACCGGCTAACGAAAGAAAACGTGTTCAGGAACGGGGAGTTAGATGTACATCGGCAGGTGGTACATGGCGCTCCAGTCCACGCCCTGGAACGAGGACATGTCCACCCCGGCCAGCGAGTAGGCGGCGCCGAACTGCGGCAGGGGTGCGGGGGGCGCGGGGGCGGGCGGCACCAGCGCGGGGGCGGAGGGCAGCGCGTAGGGCGCGTACCGGTACGAGGGCAGCCCCCCGTACAGCAGGCCGCGCCCCCCGCGCACCACCAGCCGCTTTCCGAGCGCCAGCGGGGCCGCCGCGACCGCTTCCTTGGGCTGCGCGCGCTTGCACTCCACCTTCTTGTTCTTGATCGTGTGGAAGTGAATGTCGCACACGCGCTCCACCGCCTCCTCCGAGTGGAACGTCACAAAGCCAAAGCCGCGGTGCCGCTTCGTCTGCTGGTCCATCAGCATGACCGCATCCTCGACCACGCCGAACTGCGAGAAGTACGCCCTGACCTCCTCGGCGGAGGTGTCCTGCCCGACTCCGCCGACGAATATCTTCTTGGTCTTGGTAGGTCGCGGAGCGGACTTGGGGGTGGCGTGTTTGGGGTCGATCCGTTTCCCGTCGAGCGTGTGCACGGACACGGCTAGGACCTTGTCCACGGATGAGGCGTCCTGAAACGTGATGAAGCCGAACCCGCGCGACCTCTGCGCGCGGGGCCTCGTCAGACGGGCGCTGGTACCGGGGCGGGGGGCGCCATTCAGTCGCAGTCGACATAGTGTGACAAGGGATGTAATGAACATAACCAAAATCGGCAACCAACCATTCGCTATTTAGTGACTATACTTTTCTAAAAAAACTGTTTACTGTGGTAAGTATCCGCAGACAAGGTACATAAAAACTAACAGGGAATAAATAGTATTCTAAAAAAATGCGTATATTAGATGCTATAATTTTTTACAAATTTTAATGCATTAATAAATTGTATGCCTGCAAGAGAGCTTGCATATACTTTTGACAGTGTCCAAAGGATGAGTTATTAATTTATATTAACTCCAAAAATGCATGTTTACTTAATTCATTGCAACGTTGGTGGGTAGAACCTTGTCACACTATATCTCTGACACAAATGTGTATATAGATATATCATACTAAATCATAGACTAAAATCTACTAAAACCAAATAACTCTGATAAATGGTCAATTAATCAAAAACGCATCTCGTGAATTCATCTAAATACACAAAAACCAGATTCCTAGTAGACCCATAACTGTCAACCACACATCCAATGGCGCATCTCAACCATGTAACTAAACAGGGCAATAAACCAATTTTGTTTATACATGCTTAAATGTCTCTTCATTTAAATACAAATCACATTTTATTAATTGACAATTAAGTAATTAATTCAACACTAAAATTAGTAAACTTTTCAACTAGAAGAATTTTACTTAGAGTTACCAATTAAAAATTTCAATTTCCAAATTTGCAGTGACCAACTAAAATAATAATTATTAGTCTACAATTGTAAAAAAAAACTATCGTTAGCTAATTTTCGAAAGTTTCAAGTGTTGGAAGATTAATTCTTAACATTCCTACCTACAGAGTGTCTAGCTAAGTTTACTATGGATTGACTACACAAGAGGAAACTCCCAAATTCTATTTTGTTCTTTTATATGGCAATACCAATAGAGGGAACTACCAAGAAGAGCTGTTCTTGTCTATGCCTAACGTTTCTAGTGTTAGTGAGTCTAGCATGCCTTGTCTATGGTTCGTACGGTAGGTAGTGAAGGATTATTATTTACTTTATATAATCGACCATAGCTCAAACTATGTGTGCTGTTTGCTTGGTTTCATAGACAGGGTAAATAAATAAAAAATAAAATAAAAAAAGTTGGTGATATTGCAACTTTGTTGGTAAAAGTTTCTATGTCTTCTATGTTTTCTTTTATACTTTCAAATTGTGGTCTTCGTTAGTCTCGCTAAAACTCGAGAACGGCTGGACCGATTTGGCTAATTTTGGTCTTGAATTATTTGTAGAAGTCCAGAGAAAGTTAAGAAGGTAGATAAATATCAATTTTATACCAAAGTTTCGGTCTTTTATTTATCAATTGAGGCACTAAGAAGTCTGCCGTGTCAGCTAGTAAATAAATAAAAAATGCTCTCAAATATTGCATGAGCAATGTACATAAACCTTCTGAACCACTGAAACCACTGAACTGACAGGAAATTCTAACCGTCACTGCTTCGAAACGCTGCCAGAATATCCGAATGGAAAAGTTGAAATACATAGCGCAGTGATATTTTAATTTTAAGTGATAATATTTTAAGTGATATTTTAAACTAGCGACGGCCTCCCATAAAGAACAAAACGTTTTGTTAGAATAGACACGTTAAAAGAATAAGATCCACAGCTTCAGTAAAAAGACCACAATAATAATTTTTCCGAAAGAAAAAACCTATGGCCAAACTGGTTTAGTAAATACATATAATAACTATAATAAATAAATAAATAATAATAAATAAATAGATCCTTAACGCTTCAACCTCATGTCTGAAGGCGACATTTTATGTCTATGGGCTCTGGTAAGTATTAAAAGACCTCAAAGTCTTAGTTAGTTTGTTAAAAATTGTTATGTTAGGATAGCGACAAGAGAGTTCCTCCCTCTCATTAATTAGTCGAAGCTTCTCATGCAAAATAATTGATTTTCAAATGAAGACACTAGTAGATGAATATAACAAACCTTTTTTTTCATTTTACTAATTAAACGGTTTAGAAATATCTCTTTCAACAAATTTATAAGTCAAACATAAATCTTTAAAAGACCAAACCCATAATAAAAAATAAGTATAAAATTTCAATTCTTTGTAATAAAAAAAACTGTCTATGAACCCAGTGTTGCAACAGCACAGAGAATACCGAAAAAACTACTATTCTTCCACAACCCTACCAACAAATCAACTTGACTGACCGGAATAATATCCATCGTTGTTTCAATTCATCTCACTATTAAACTGTTATGCTTGAAATTTTTATTTATATTATTACCACTTTAGTATTTCAATAAAAAAGTTTTTTTTTATCTTGCAGAAGAACTTAAAAACGTTGGGATGTTAATTGTTATTAGTTAGGTATTGAAACAATTTAAAGAGATTACAATTTGAGAAATCACAATATTCAAATATTTCCTGCGCAACTTAACTAAATGTTGCTGGTTATATACCTGTTGTATCTATAATTGATAGCTATCAATTTTGCAGCATCTTTTTGCATTGATTTCACCCAATACTCACACAAAATCTTATCATTTTACGGTTTATCGCTTTTCAATACCGCCTAATTGTAAAGGTAACGATGGCAGACAAAATGTCAATATATTTTTTTTGTAAGTGTAAATTCCTACTTTTTATAAACATAATTCTTGGAAGGGAGTAGGGGGACTTCTTTCAAAATAAATTCCTCACCTGAGTAACAGGATCTTTCATTATCAAAACATCAGTGACAGTTCCAAACATTGTGAAGTACTCTCGTAGCTTTTCCGAGCTCGTCTGCCAGCTGAGGCCCCCCACGAAGAGCTTGCTTGGCGATGGTGAAGTGGTGCCCGTAGCTGGTGTGGTGCCATTTGTGGGTTGAACTGGTGATGAACGGCCTGATGACGGAGAGTTTTCTGTTGAGACGAAACCGTGAAGTGGGTATTTCTTAACAATTAACTATAATTATAGTAGATTCAAACTTCAGCTGTTTTCAGCAGTGTTTCTTCTACCCAAGAAATATCTGAATTTCCTTTAATGATAACAGAAAATATATATAATTATTTTCCATAAAAAGTTTTCCACTTTCCCTCCAATTGCTTCTAAAGGAAACCATTTCATTGCTGAAAAAAGAATATATGCAATTGCAACTTTTTAAAATCTTAAGCTAGTTATTATTGGAATTTTTATTCAATAACTAAGAATTTGTAACCATTTAGCACTAGGTTGTCTTCCAAAAATAAGTAGAATAATCAATTATTTTATTAAGAAATAGCAAGTAACTATGTATTCCATTTGATTATTGGTTTAAAAGAAATGATTGATTTTTATATTATTTGTTCTTAAGTTGTGTGAAGGTCAACCTAAAACATCTTCACAAATATTGTTCTGTATTGAAGAAATTAACACTGGATATAACAATGGACACAATTAGATTTTTGTTCAATTCTGCTGATAATACTACAAAATATTTTCTATCAATCATGCACCCTACCCATAATTAATACTCCTGTAATTTCTAAATCTGAAAAGATTGAACTTGGTATAGTCTCGTAACTCTGCAAGTCGTAAAGAGTACAAAGTTACGACCTTAATATTCTAGAAACTCACTAATCTGTTGTGCAGCTATTTGTTGTTGCTGATGATGGGCAGTAGCTGCTGCGTGTGCCGCGGCCTGCGCGCTCAACACGTGACCAAGTTCACCGCCTACCAATCCACCATCTAGGACTTCCACGCCGCCCAGAGCACCGCTGGAAAACAACCCCAACATTTCAACACTCGCACTGATTTTCGTACTGTATAAATGCGTTTGATCACTATAACTCATTGAGTTTCAACGTATTTTAGTTGTATTTGAGTTTTGTTTAAATTTTTTCACAATACACGGCGGGAAAATTGGCTTTGTAAAATAATTGAACGTCGTTTTTTTTAAATTCTGTCCATTCAGCCAGTTCATTTCTGTTTAAAACTTTTTACGTATTTCATTTATTTTTCTATCTTATTAAATCAGAAATTTAAGGAATCCAATCATTACATCTCGACCAAAGCAAACATTTTCTCAATATTTTTAAAGTTTTCGTTTACAGCGTTGTTTTTGTTAATTCGGTGCCGGTTTTTTTGTTTGTCAAAAATCAGAGACAAAAGGAGTAGACATGTTTAAATTAAAAATTTAATAGTTCTGAAACTGTTATGTATCGTAGGTATATTAATATTAAAACAAAGAATTATTAGATGATTACANTACATCTCGACCAAAGCAAACATTTTCTCAATATTTTTAAAGTTTTCGTTTACAGCGTTGTTTTTGTTAATTCGGTGCCGGTTTTTTTGTTTGTCAAAAATCAGAGACAAAAGGAGTAGACATGTTTAAATTAAAAATTTAATAGTTCTGAAACTGTTATGTATCGTAGGTATATTAATATTAAAACAAAGAATTATTAGATGATTACTTTTGATTAATGTTTAAATTATAAAGCTAATGTATATTGTAATTAATTACTAATCCAATTTCTCACTGTGTAAATTGAAAATATGCACTTTCACTAACTCAGTTAAACTTGAACTTGAATTTCGATAATAAACATATTTAGACATAATTATGTACATTTTAATGTTCAAAGTTACACACACAAGAAACTAGCACGCCAGATGATATAATATGATTTTAAAAAACAGTGTCTTATTCCAGACCATAACACAACAAGACAACTAGATAATCCCGTGTCAAGTAAAGAGCTATGTACAGATTTTATTAAAAAATATTTACATAATAATTAATTACGTAAATTAAGTTTCAAAATTAAGCACCTGGTTCTTTAAGAACAATATTTTCTGAGGATGAATGTGGGGTGTTAAGAAATTTAGAGGAAATTTATCTTAATCCGTCTTCACTAAGTTGTATGATGAATTTATGTGTACAAAAATAATTTTTTTCCTTTAAATTTTAACTGTTATAATTTCCTATAATATTTTTATCCTTATGAAAATAAATGTAGGTATACTTATTCCGTGTAATTTGAAATATAAAATTATGCAATAGTATAATTTATCAGATATAGAGACGACAGCAGATGAGCTGATGATTAAAGATAAAAGAAATAATGGTATTTTTAAAGCTTTAAGACGCTTTATTCAAATTCAGTTGAAAAGAAGTCTTAAACGCTAAAGAGTAATTTTTGGACGTTGACACAGCAGATGTCCATTGCCAACGGAAACCACTTACGGGGAAGTGTTCTTGATGCCGGTACCGTACCTACCTGTATTCATGTTTGATGGCTACCTACAGGTTCCATTTATATTCAGATATATTCGTCTCCCTACGAAGGCAAAAGAAAAGAAATCAAACTGCCACCATACACTTATTGAAACGTTTCCATTGCCGAAGTTATTTATTGAGTGGAACGCAATATTTGCCGAGCCACGACCGCATAATTATTCCTTATATTTAAACATTGAAAATTGAACAATACTATTAAAATTTATTTGATATTGTCTCCAGAAACCTATAGAAGCGCTTACGTCCATTTTATCGGATTCAATTGTGCTAGTTATGCTAAAACACGTTTTGCCCACATAAATAACGTTCCCCATGTAATTGTGTGCCGGATTTCATTGTTGGAGACCCTCGAATTTCCTAATTTTCACGTTCCATTCGGTGCAGTGTCGATAAATCGTGGCCAGGCTCACCTATGACCCTGTGGGTGCTGATTGGACCAACCAATTTATTGTCAGAGACACCCGGGTATTCGTGATCATCATTAGTCGCAGTCCCTATCGCAATTAATTCTGACTTGAAAAATCTACACTTCCCTTTTTTTTACAGAAATACATATGTCTAATTTAAAATAATCAATAATTAAGACTTTTAGGAATTATATTTATGAATTTAACGTTAAAAGTTTGATTTACACAAATAAACTTAAGTCGTAAATTTTTAAGACAATCTGAGATAATCTCAGGAAAAGTACATAATATTATGTAAATGTGACATACGGATCACACAATGCAGATCATATCGAAATTCTGTTTCGGAAAAGATTTCAATTGTTATAATTTATTAATACTTACTGTGTTATTTATTATCAATATAAAAATGCAATTGCTATGTTCTATCTATATATATAAAAATTACTCTCGCTAAAACTCGAGATCGGCTGGACCGATTTGGCTAATTTTGGTCTTGAATTATTTGTGAAGTCTAGAGAAGGTTTAAAAGGCAGATAAATATGAAAATGCTTATTTTTTTATGTTTAGATGGGTGAACGAGCTCACAGCCCACCTGGTGTTAAGTGGTTACTGGAGCCCATAGACATCTACAACGTAAATGCGCCACCCACCTTGAGATATAAGTTCTAAGATCTCAAGTATAGTTAGTTACAACGGCTGTCCCACCCTTCAAACCGAAACGCATTACAGCTTCACGGCAAAAATAGGCGGGGTGGTGGTACCTACCCGTGCGGACTCACAAGAGGTCCTACCACCAGTAATTACGCAAATTATTTATTATACGATGTTATTCCTTCACAGTGGAAGTCAATCGTGAGTATTTGCTAAGTACGTATTTCGATAGATAAATTGGTACTACCCGCCGCGCCGCCTGCGGGATTTGAACACCGTGTATCATGTAAATGCGGAGTTTTTGAGCTGTAGTTAGTAGTTTCATTAGCGCGAAACATAAAGTAATTGGTTGATGGTAATGTTTTGTCGCTTCCCGGCATCGGAAGGCGCGCCGGTGACGCAACTGCGGCGCCGCCCGGTCCCGGCCTGATGTTATGAGCCTTGCAAATAATGTTATCGATATAGGTACTAGAGTTTTTAGATAGGCTTTTATTGCCGGTGTCGCCTAGTGAGAAGGGAGTGGCGACGGGAGACTAATACCCACGAGATATTGCTATAAGATGTATAGGATACATCTGGCGTGGATTCTTTCTCGATCCAATTAAACTTAAATCAGATGTAGTCAAGTTTTTTTTATACAATTTTCTCTAAAATTTAATAACCTTTTTAGAAGTTTGTTACTTAAATGAAATTGCGTTAAGTTTGATTTTATAATTTTTCGTTACACTGTATAAATTTATAGTTTTTGTCAAATCGTCGATGCTCTGAGTCTGAATTGATCATCATTCTATAAATAAATATAATACATACATTATATATTTTTTCAAGTCGAATTTTGAAGTCGTCGTGGCCTAAAGGATAAGACGTCCGGTGCATTCGTATCGAGCGATGCAACGGTGTTCGAATCCCAGGCGGGATTCGACCAATTTTTCTAATGAAATACGTACTCGACAAATGTTCACGATTGACTTCCACGGTGAAGGAATAACATCGTGAAATAAAAATGAAACCCGCAAAATTATAATTTGCGTAATTACTGGTTGTAGGACCTCTTGTGAGTTAGCACGGGTGGGTACCACCGCCCTGCCTGTTTCTGCCGTGAAGCAGTAATGATTTTCGGTTTGAAGGATGGGGCAGCCGTTGTAACTATACTTGAGACCTTAGAACTTATATCTCAAGGTGGGTGGCGCATTTACGTTGTGGATGTCTATGGGCTCCAGTAACCACTTAACACCAGGTGGGCTGTGAGCTCGTCCAAACATCTAAGCAATAAAAAAAAATAAAAAAAAATCTGTACCTAAAAGCAGCATTAGTGGATCGGGAGGATCCGTAATGACGTGTTTTGAGCGACGTCGACTGCTTTCCATTCTGTCCGCAGGCTTGGGAATGTTGAGTCGTAGGAAACACTGTCATATGCTAGTAGAAAGTAGATGACAGTCTGCTTACCGCCAGCAATTTACTGAGTCTACATAAAAAACTATCTCGTCCTTGATAAAGTATGGTCTTATAGAATATACAAAGAGAAACCTTAATATCCTGCGATGGGAGCCACTAAATTGTAAACGATCAGAAACCAGCACCCGATTGGCATGTTCGTGGATTTCCATCGTCTTGTTACATTGTTTTTGTGTCGAAAAGTTATAATATGACGTCGTATCGAAGGCGGTGTTCAGCCCCGCAATCCTTGTTTATGTTGATAGAGCTCCTGCGACGTATTGGATCCTGGTACCGCGTCGAATTATGGCGCACAGAGTCTCCTATTTTATCAGAGAAGTATTTCCTTTTATGGGAATAAGTCGATTGGTTAATAACGATGAACACGCTTTTATTAACTTTATTAGCATATAATACCTAATACTAGCTTTTTCCCGCGACTTCCTTCGCGTGGAATAGTTCACAAATAATGCTTTATTTTAGAACAAATTTGTTTAACATAAAAAACGTTATCACTATAACGTTGTTAAACAAATTTGTTGACTCACTAGTCAACCTTAATATATAGACATATGCTGTCGCGGACTTTTTTTTAGATCTTTTAAAGGGGAACAATTCTCTCATACCTACATTAGCGAAACTAATCGTTTTCGCAACGCACGTAGTGGAAACTCTCAAAAGGGATTAAAAGCCCAATTTTGAAACATACTTTATTGGTGCTCCGCTGGTGGTCCTAGCGTGATGTTATATAGCCTTCCTCGATAAATGAGTCTATTCCACGACTGCAAATCGTCCGATCATCTTGACAATTCACACGCGCGTCAAGAAACGATGACCATACAATAGTTTTGTAACTTCGTTTTACTATCTTGAACAGTATCTATATATTAATACGTGAAGCAGGAACTTTTTACCCCTTTTTACGTAAAATGGCGCGGACGGAGGAGTACGAAATTTCCCACACTTATAGAGAATATAG